GGTGTGGGTCGGTGTGTGTGTGTGTGTGTGTGTGTGTGTGTGTGTGTGTGTGTGTGTGTGTGTGTGTGTGTGTGTGTATCTTGGATCTTTTTAAATGCTATCCAACAATCTTAAGTATGTCATGTCAAAAGGTTCAAATGCTGCTGTTTTTGGAACAATACAGTAGGTTCTCTACACGGAATTACAATGGATCATCCAATATATTTAGCAATAGTTTTGTTGGCCTAATACAATAATAGCTAAAAAAAAAATTCTCAATGTTTAAATATGGAAAAGGCAAGCGTGGTATGAAGATTATCTATCCATTATCCGAACGGGTTCATCCTCACCAGGGTTGCGGGCATGCTGGAGCCTATCCCAGCTGTCTTCAGGCAGTAGGCATGGCAACACCCTGCACTGGTTTCCAGCCAATCGCAGGGCACACAAAGACAAACAACAACCATTCACACATAATCACACTTAATGACAATTTAGAGTGATCAATTAACCTGTCATGCATGGTTTGAGAATGCAAGGAGGAAACCGGAGTACCCGGAGAAAACCCACGCAGGCACGGAGGGAACATGCAATGTCCACACAGGGAGTGAATTCTGGATTCGAACCCTGGCTCTCTGTACTGTGAGTCGATGAGGTGGAGACTTGGTCTGAGTCACAGGTCCGCTTGATGATGAGGGGAATCCCTCGGCGAGTTGAATGCCTCCTGCGGGCCGCCTCATCCAATTAGCCAAGCCCAGAGTGGCAACTCTGTGATGGCGGGTGATTGTTGGCGTCATGACGGAGGTGCGGGGGCTGGATGTGGAGGGGACGGGCATCTGGGTGCAGATTGGACATAGATGATGCATGTGGCGTTTTGAACAAAACAAAGCAGGGCCTGGGGGGTATGGTTGACATGATGGGCCATCACAATGTATGAGCTGTATAGCGAAACTATAAAGGTCAATGCAGATAAAGACATGGAACAGCTGTCTCATGAAAAGCATGGATCTCAGATACGTGCTTTAGAGTGGACAACAACAGGTTAAAAACATACTGTGCAAGAGGAGAATAATGTGTGGCATCAATCAAATGTTAAGATGTCACCAGAGCGGTATATTTATATATATAAAGCTTGCATCTGATTATTATTATGTAATTATTTTTCTATTTTAATTTTAAAACCAATAAAATGTACAATATGAATACATATTTCAGAAATTAATTAACAAAAACAATATAATGTAAAAGTCTCCGATAATTTTTTTTCAACAAATCAATTAAAATTGTTTAATACTGTAAAACAAAACTCCATCGCCAAGACAATGCATCATACAAATATTGTCAAATAATGTTGATTAAAATAAAGGCAATGAAAACATGGAATGCACCAGTCAACCCCAATGCATTAGTGATTTAAAAAAAAATATTTAAGGATACTTAAATTAATTAATAAAAATAATAATGTGCATCAATACAAACTCTATTTCTATTATATATTAAATAATTTTAAAAACCATCTTGGAAAGAAGATCATTTTAAGAAAAGATACAAAATAAAAGCATCAAAGTAAAAATTGTTTTAAATAAAACAATTTGTGTTAATGGCCATTTGCTCACATTTTGAGGTCTACTGCAAGTACTATGCTCACAACTGCTTCTTTATTTTTCTTTTAAAGTAGTCAAATGAACACCTATGATCCAGAGTTAAAAAAAAAGAACAAAAAACAGAAGCTTTTTATTATCTTTGTAAAAGATGAAATGTTGCGTTAGAATGTGTCCTACACATTCACACACTCCTTCCCTGTCATGTGCCAGATTGTCCCCTGCAGCCAAAAGACATTAGAGAGAAATTCCGAAGAAATTCCCCTGGTAGTGAATCAGGTCCACTGCCATGCAGTATTTCCAAAATGAATCCGGATGAAAGTTGGGAAATGAGCCGCATTAAAGCAAAGGCAAAGATGACCCGCCTACCGGACCACCGGCAAAAAGTGTTTCATTAAGATGAGTGTGAGACCTCCTCATGCGGGCTGGGCTCATGGTCAGGAATCCCTGGAGGATTTGCTAATGGAGGGTCTTGTTTAGGGCCTGTGTGCATCAATTAGACATCCAGAGCTTGTGTTTGCTTCCTGAATGAAGTAAGCGCATAAATACATTTGGCGGACATTACGCACCGACATGCCAGCCATCGTTAATTAACTCGCTCATTAACCGGACCAAAAACCTTCCCAGAACGCATTTGGGTCCATGCCAATCGGATTACTTGCCAAGCTATCTGTCTATCTATCTATCTATCTATCTATCTATCTATCTATCTATCTATCTATCTATCTATCTCTCTCTAGCTATCTTTCTGGTATGGAGGTGCAGTGAAAATCTTTCAATAATGACATAATGGTGGCGGTCCACGTTCCATCCAGTTGATGCCCTCCGTGCGCCATTGTGTGGCGGGCGGTACCGACGGGTATTATTAACGTTGTTATCAACGTTAGCGCTGCCGCAGCCGCTGCCTTTTCTGTGGTGACATGTCAAAATGTCTTGAGAGGATTTGTAAGAGTGCAGAAAGGTTCGGGGGAAGAGGGTGGGGGTGAACATAGAAGTTTCTTTGCTTTTTTTTGTAGGACTTTTCAACTTATTTACTTTTAAACATCATGGAGATTTGATGTATATAAATATGCAGTGCTGTCTAATGAAATATGAATTTTGCCTAGCCTCTTACAATCAATCCCCCCCACATAGACAAAGGTGTAACTTTCAAAATAGAATAATTGTCATTGAAACATGAACCGCAGTTTAGACCAGAACCTCTCTCCAAAGTGCACTGTTATGCTCTCACATACCAAAGCAGCCTTGCAATACTGGAATCTAAAGTACTTGTGCGTTATGGCAGGATGACCTCACCTTCTAACGGGTACCAGCAAGCGAAGTGGAGGACGATTACGTGGCAATTAAGTCCATTTCCATGTTTTCAGCCAGAGATGCATGAAAGAGCAATTTTACCTGTTTTGCTTTTTTGTGTGATGGATGTCAGTGTGAGTTGGAATCTGGTGCATCCGTGTTTTCAAAAGTTATGCAACAGCGTTTACATGCGGAAGCCAGTGCAGCTTTGATAAAGAGGCTAACTCCGGTTCTCTCCCAATCTCCCTGACTCACACCCTCCCCACGATAATACCTATCTACAAATCAAACCAACAATATATATACACACACACACACACACACACACACACACATTAATACACATAAATACATACAACTTCCGCCTATGGCAAAATCCTTCTGAAACAGAGGGGGAAATGCAGGAAGTGTGATTTGGGGTAGATTTAAGAAATACTGTGTGTACATATGTTATCATTTTAGATTCTGCATATAAGCACTCTTGCTCTCTTTTATTGTGATATGCACCCACACACAAGCATATCCAGGCAGCTCAGCTGATATTGTGCAAATCGAAAGGCTTTGTTGTGTCACATCTTTCACATTCAGCAGCAGGCCTGAGAGCAGTCTGTGTCATTTTTTTTCCCCCTAAGCGTCTTATGCTCAATGTTTATTCACATGCCTGTCCTGAAGATCTAATTGTGTAAGCGTCAATGAGTGGTAACAACATGACATTACTGCAGCCAAATGCAACCAATAATTCAACAATTTCACAATATTTTTAGATCTAACAAAAATAGTTGAGTTTTGTATTGTAATAATTATTAGGAAGTCAAACTTTTATTTTTTTAATGGATTCTCATTCTCAAACTAAGTTATAAATACAATAATAATTTCAGTATTAATTATGAATTACTATTTTCATCCAGTTCCATATAGAATTGTATTCATAGAATATGTTCTTTATTTTTATAGCAGTAACAAGGGTAATTTCGACTGCTCTGACGTCAAGAAAACGTCATCCCGTTTCGCTTTCTGATTGGCCGAGTAGGCGGAAGCGGAAGAATACCGCTAAAGCAAACATGTCGGCGGTCAATTGAAAAGTTGCCACTAGTCAAATTTTAGGCATTGGGGTGTGTGTGTGTGTGTGTTTGTGTTTTATGTTTGAACTTTGCGTACAAACCACACGTTGACACTTTAAGTAGACGAGGACTCCACGAAAAGAGGCAGGACATTCGTTATTATCAGGTTGGTGCTTCGTCGTTGTTCCTGCTGTACGTGAATGGAACTGAGATGCTCCTGTTAGCTGAATTAGCATGCTAGTGGAGTTCGTGAATGCATCACCGGCTGTTTACGCACATATAGCTCACCTGTCAAGACGCTTATGTACGCGCATATAGCTCACCTGCCAAGACGCTTATGACACTTCTCCAATGCCAAATATATAGTGTCGATTTAAATAACTATAGATAGTAACCATTTTTCAAATTGTGTCTTCTGTAAGAGTTAATTTCATTACACACAACGAAAAAGCAATTTTAAGAATTAGTCCTGCCTAAATTATAGCGAGACTGCTTGAATGCGAAGCCGCATACAAATACGCTATAAACTATTTTGTACTGGATCAAGAATGCCAAATCTGTGTGAGGGCACTTCTTGTCAAGCTATGTGCTATGCCATGATATCTGTGTTTGTTTTCTAGTTCGTAAACAGAAAAGTAGTTGCACCCTGATGTATGTAGTATTTGCACCATACGATGGCAATAAAGTAGTAATTACGGAGAGTTTCTGTTGCAGTTACATGTACAAGGAAAACATCTGGTGCATTTTTTTTCCAAAACAAACCTGGAAGCTATATATTCTTAAGAGTGAATGTTGTTTGATAATTTTGAAATGATATGAACATGATTTAGGATCATAGTTTGTGGTAGATTTGTGGTTGAAATTAATAGTACCGGTATATGAGAGGGATGTTTGAGCCCACTTGTTTTCAGACCAATGCCACTACGACTATTCACTCTGAGTGCTCCCAGATACACAGTACCAGTACGTACAGTACTTTTGATCCATAAAATTTCATTGAACAAAATGAAAAAAATGTTTTAACAAAGACATTTGTTTGTAATGCAAATGATGATTTGCTGATTTATCAAACTCCCACACTATAGCGCCAAATACTACCGAGGAAGACTTACTGACAGTCTAATATTATTATCATTTTTGCCTTAAGTATCGGTGACTGGTATATACACCCTCCAAGAGCACCTTAAAATAAAGCTCATATGAGCTCACTCGCCCATCCCTAGTATAGGAACTCGTCGAGAGATCGTGATATATTCAGAAACACAATTTCCTTTTTAGAAATAATGCTGATATCTGGGACTCATGTCGGACGTCGTGTATGAAGAGAAAGCCACGATGATTGCCGCAGGGGAATTGCAGTCGTTTGTCCCGTTTGGCCGTGATCACTGCAAGAACCACCCCAACGCCTTCAATCTGCAATTGCGGGAGCTGCAGCCCGCCTCCGAGCTCTGGTCGTCGGACTGCGCCGCCGGCCTGGCAGGGTCTTTGCAGGAGGTCAGCCTGCAGGAGAGGGACCGGGTAAGATTTTTATTTTATTTTTTAACACGCCGCGTCAGATCATTCAGATCACTTACTAGAAGACAGCGGTGTCAAACTTTGCGGGTCTCTTTAAATCGCAAATTCTGAAATATTGTGTGTGTGGGTCTGGTACGCATCCCCGAATCTGGCCTGTGAGCTTCAACATCTGCGAATGTAGGGTTTCATGGGAGTGGTATTTGATTGGCAGGAAAGTTGGCAGTTGAGGAAGGGCTGCGTGGAAGCCCCAGAGGAGGATGTGGAGTTTGAAGAGGAGCTTTACACGGCAGGGAACGTGGTGGTCTGGACCAAGGGCAGCCGGGCGCATGGCTCAAACATTTACAAGGCGTTCACCGTGGACAGCCCTGTGGAGCAGGTTAGTCGAGGATACTTATGAATTTGAATTTAAGACTCATGGTGACAGTATACATATTTTTTTTGTTCTATCTGCAGGCCTTATGGTGTGACTTTGCTGTTCCTCAGAGCAAGAAAGACGGTACTGTGTCATTACTAGGGATGTAACGATCACGGAAATATTGTAATATTGCGATATTAAAATTGCATTGATATCGTCTTTGTCATGTCACGATATTAAAAACAATACATGTGTTCAAGGCGTAGTTGTGTTTCACAGAAGAAAAGGTGGAGCACACGGTGTGTATCCTACAGAACGGATGCGTCAACATTCACACTGTGACCGGCAAGGATTTCCTCTCGCCTCTGCCGTTCCAAGTGAGACCCCCTCCTACCACGTTGTTGGTATACCTTTTTTAATGATATGTAAAAAGCAGGCAAAAAGAAGTGCGCGTGTTCTCCCACAGGTGTCCAAAGCCTGGTCGACCAAGTTTGGACTTTTGCTGGAGCGTAAAATCACAGCAGCTGACGGACAGCTCAGCACGCCAGGGTAATACATACACTCTGCACGCTCACATTTGCACTCACATAGATGTATGTATGTATGTATGCACTCACTCTCCCCCCTCTCCCCCAAAACACTTTTACGTTATGTATTTATTTATTTTTTGGACACATCCTGATCGTGGACTTTGTGTTCCTCTACAGCGAGTCTCTTCCCACCTTGTTCAGCATGCTGCATCCGATAGATGAGGTGGCACCAGTGGTGTGCAAACCCACAGGTAAAAACAATGCACTGTCGTGAGTGGAGCCTCAAACTTGGAGCACCATGTTTGATTCTGGTGTCCACCATGTACCTCCCAGGTCTGTTTGACAGCACTCGCGTGGAGTACATGTCCGACTCCGCCACAAAGATTGTCTTCACCTGCTGTCGGCCTTCCATTGTCGTCTCTTACGACAGTGAGCAAGGAACACACTCAGTGTGGAGCCTGCGCAGGGTCACGTGTGAGGTATGCACTTACATACTCACTCAAGATGAAACACACGATGGGGAAATTTGTAATCTGTGTAATGTCACTCACTCACTCACACAACGGCTGTATCTTAACCTCCAGCCTCTTACCTCGTCCACAGGAGCGCTCTTCTGTGCTTAATTGTGTCACGGAGCCCTTCACTGAACCTCTGGGCTTCCTGGCCACAAGCTTTCTTATGTCACACCTGCGCAACCACTCCCGCCTGGACTCCCCGTCCAGCAGCAAGGCAACCAGGTTAAATCCTGCTGTTGGAGCAAGGTAATAAAAATTGTTAGTTTCTAAAAGTGTATGTATGGAAGCCATTTAGCTGCACACGTGGATGCCAGAATGCAGCATAGCAAGCCAAGTGACACCTTGTGACATTTTTGTCCTGCCGTCAGAAGGTTAGAGATCAATATTTGCGAGCATGTCGCTGAATTCCAAACTGCTGCCTTTGCTTACTCAAGACAGACAAGAACGCCAGGATACATGGCCATTAATCTAATATACATTGAGAGAAAATGTGAGAAAAGGTGGACAACAGCTACTACTGCCGTTTTTTTCATGGAAAAACTTTTTCCAATTTCTGAGTGTATTAGATGGGATCCATTTTTGGAGGTCAGTCTAACTCATCCTAAAGGTGTTCTAATGGCTTTTTTCTACACCAAATTGATCCAAGGATGCCTTTAAGGCCCAAGCTTCATCAACTTGGAGCAGAAAATGGCCTTCCCCTAACTGTTCCCGCAGACGTGGAAGCACAAAATTGTCAAAAATGTCTTGATAGGATTTCTCCCGGCCCAAATTGAGACAGCCGTCCTACAATTGTGTGAATTATTTATCTGGTCTTTATTGTTCTTGAATGTGCTCTTTTTCTGAATCGAAATTCAGTCAAATACAAAATAAAAATCAAAGAATCAAATTTGATCTTGCATTTTTGCATGTAATACATAACAAAGGTGCATTGTGTGTGCAGTTAAAGATGGCCCTAGTGAACCTACCTACAAATTCTATTCTTAAAGAAAAATATTGTCATACGTTTTAGAATGACAGATAATTAAGGCTTTTCTATTAATTTCACGGCCAGAGGGAGAACATTTAAGCCTCCTGTTTTTCCACATATAAGATGTTCTCATGTACTCCTTGTAATCCATTGCTTCCTGGTCAGACACATTTATGGCCATTTTGCAGCAAAAGTCCAAGCACCTCACTTGGAATCTTTTGCAAAGGGGTTCCTTCACCTTGGAGAAAAAAAAAGTTTTCATATTCTGCTCATTTTGTCTAACTGTTTCGAAGTCAGTGCCACAATTACAGTTAAAAATGACGCTACTCAGATAACAGTTTTCATGATGTCAGAGCTTCTCAGGTTGGAAATATGTACAAGTATGATTCAGAGAGGACAGATAAGGGGTCTTGGACAACATTTTAATTGATTCAATTCATTCATTAAAGTGTGTGTCCCAATACAGTGTGATAATCCCGGCGAGTTGTTTGTTGCTGATTTTGTCCTTGTTTTTCTTTTTTTTTTTGGACAATATCCCTCAACAACACTGCACAGCCACCAGAACAGAATTCTTATGTCCTCACCAGCAATGCAAACACGCATCCATTCCCCAGGTATATCCAAGATGGCCGCTCTCAGGTAAATTCATTCTATTGTTTATTCACAGAAACTAGGATGGAAACCCAGTGAACATGTTCCCCTTTTCCCCACATACTTTATAGTCGCGACCACTCTCCGGGCATGGCGGCGCCGTCCTTATCGGGCGTGGCTCGCTTCAACACGACCCTCCACGCCTCGTCACCCGTGGGCCACCACCAGGGAGCGGCACATTCGCCCAACAGCACCATCAATGAGACAGTGCTGAAGCCCATCATCCCAGACCTATGCATGGAGCAGCTGTGGAGCGAGGCGACTGCTTGTCACAGGTTTGAAGCTGGATTTGGTTAAAATAAGCCGTTTTTTTCGATTCAGGTGTGTTTTTGAGGGGTTCCCTTTTCCTTAAATGCTTTCCAGTGCAGGTAAAATAGGATAAGAGACAATAATACTGAAATTAAACACTCTTAGACCATCACTAGTTTGTTCTATAACAATTACCATACATTGTATGTATGTTGTTATGTTTCAGACTCCTTATTACAATAGATTAATAAAGAAAACTATATATTTACATTATATACAATATATACAGTATTTATAACAAAACAATTTAATAAAAATTGTACGAACACACTTTTCTACATGAACAGATTAAAAATATATTAACAGCAGCAAACAAAAATGCTTTTTTTTTTTTAATTATGCAATGCTGTTGGATGTTGTAATATTTTTAAAAATAAATCAAATACAATTTATAATAATACCTAAATATTTTGTGCGTAATAACTGGCTGGATTTTTCTTTTTAAGAAACAAGTCCATCATTCAAATTAAAAAAAAAAAAATCATGCAATTTGGTTTGTAATGTAAATTATTTTATAATTACGATTTATTTATGCAATCTTGCTTAGATGATGTACTGCTGGTGTCAGACAGTATCATCGTATCTCCAAAACAGTGTAAGTTTCTGCTAAACAGTGACCATGTGTATTGTTTTTCCAGCCTGGACAGAGAGATGAGCAGCCAGGCCTCCAAAGTGTTCCTGACCTCTGACCTCTGTGAGAACCGCTACCTCTGTTTCCTGGTGGAGTCACACCAGCAACTCAGGTCAGTGTCACAACACTCTCTGAGAGCTTGTCAGACGCTAAGTATTGTGGCTACTGCGATAATTAAAAAAAAAAAATTTCCCTCGACTGGTATCCTCTCTTATCTTCTTCGCTCAGATGCGTGAAATTCGTCGAGAGCAATGACACGTCTCAGCTCATCTTTGCCTCTGTGACGAGCATCGCTGCCAAAGATGCGGAGCCTCTGCAGGTGAATTGCCTTGCATTCATACAGGTTAACTGGGTGCATATCGCATGCAATTATTATTTCTTTTTCATTTGCAAATTAGAGAGACCCTATTTAAAAAAAAAATGTTGAAAATAGTTTTACCCCTCATGACACATTTCAGCTTATTAAAATGCGCTTAAAATAGGTGATAATCCTATAAAATCACATTGAGGAAACAAAAAGACAACTCTCTCACTCACAAAAATTTCCAAATGAGGGCCAAACATGCTTGCTTCAACCTGTTGGTCACGCCCAGTTGAGGTTTACTGTTAAATTGACACAAAAAAATCAATGAGAATTGAACATTGTATTTTTAGCATCTAGCTGTTCAAAGAGACCATGTAATTTCATTTTACGAAAGTTTGCCAGCTTCATGCTTACATCTGATGTGAAATGTCATTGATGGGCCCACAAATTTCAGCAAAAAGTCAAGAACAAAGACTTGGTCGTTTCCCAACCCAGAGGTTTGTGGTTCATTGCCCGGCCTTTGCGACCGTGTTGAAGTGTCCTTGAGCAAGATACTGAATCCCCAGTTGCTCCTGATGCTGCGTCATCAGTAGGTGAATCAGGTAACAGTGTAAAGTACTTGAGATAGAAAAGCGCGATCTAAGTAACAGCCCATTTACCATTCTGAAGACACGCAACCCTAAATTTTGACTTGCCTGTACAGTATAAAAATTCTGCAGCATAGCAGAGGTGCAAGTGATGAACTGTAAGATAACGCAGGGTTCGCTCTACTTGACATTTTTAACTTTTCGTCCTTGCAGAACATCAATGCAATGCTGGTTTTGGAGGCTTGCGGCAACCTGGTTCTCTACACAGGCGTCACCCGGGTAAGGACGACGATGAATTTGTCTCCTGAACATGTGACATTGATTGATTTATTTTGTTTTTGGTCCCTCAAGGTCAGCCAGGTGTTTGTGCCCGGCCTACTGCCGTCTGCTTTCAGTTTGAACAACCACCGCGGTGGCCTCTACACGCCGCTGGAGCAAGTTAGCACACCTGCTAATTCTAACAGCAGGCATTTGCAAAGAATGGACGAGGTGTGTTGTAGAAACATCCGGAAAAGGAGCTGTTAATTCGCTTTATTTTCTCCCGGCAGTCTGAAAAGAAATGTCTCACTAGATTGGTCATAACAGATCACCATGGCTGAGTAAATAAAGTTCTCCAAAAATCTTTTGTTGTTTTAAGTGTAAAAAAAAGTGCATGGAGCTCCCAGGCTCAGCAGCACCTCTTTAAACATTAAGTGGAAAAATAAAATCATTCAGGATTACCCAGTTTTCAAGATGATCTCATCGAGTTTTTTTTCAATGGCCGATGCCGATATGCGTTAAAATGTCAAATATCAGCGCCAATCATCAGCCCGGCTGATCGGTCTATCACTATCTTAAATTGTGTTTCACTGAGTCTGAGTGCCTATTAAAATTTTTAAATGTTTTTCATTATGTTTGTGTTTAAAATATGTGGAGGGGTAAAATTATTTGGGGGGCGGGGGGGGATCAAATGGCGTCCCTGAATTTCCAATTCACAGCTATTGTGGGTGGGTCTGCAACGTATCCCCAGTGATTAATGTGGGTTTTCACTGTGCTTTATTTTCCAACAACTCCCTCAGGCTGCCATGCCCTCACCAGTGTCTGAGCTAAGGGTTCCAATCCTGAAGCACCACGAAGCATCTTTTTTAGAGGACTACACCTTCCAGCAGTCCATGCCCTACATCCACGCCCTGCGGGACCCCGTCAGCAACCGTGTAACTCTGGTGGGTTTTTTTTTTTTTTTAGCCTCTTAGTCATCTAACGAGCATGTTTCCAGCCTTTTCATATGGTTCGTTATTAGTTGTGAATCATAGCCGCACGCAGGCTCATGTCCCTCACACGCACGTTCTGAAAGCGGGTCTGCGAAGCTTTGACGTATTGTCTCCGTTTATTGATTTGCCATCCGATTCCTCCAGAGGGTAATTGTTTGTCAGTCTGCCTTGCTGCTGCTCCACTGACAGGCCTCCACTTCATTTTCATCAGGGATAAGATGCGGCAGAGTGGAATAACCACGCAGAGGAGTTAAGTGTTACAGGAAGACTGAGTCGTAGCCTGAATGTGCAATAAACAAGAATTGTAAATGTGCATCATTTTGACCCCATACATGTGTTTTTGGTATACCTTGGCCCAAACAATTAGCATATGTTAAGAGTCGTATCATTTTTTGCCCCTAAATGTTTCAATTCTCATTTCAGCTTTGTTGAGGATCCAGTGTTGTTGCGTGCGAATTGTCTGAACAGAACTGATTCTTGTGTTTTGCACTGCATGAGCAATGCATCTAAAACAATGAATTTTATAATAATTTATGTGTCACACTAGGAACTAAATAATGGCTCCATGCTGAGAATCTCCATGCCGGACATTGCAGTCTCGGAACTGGGTAAGCTTTCTTTCTTGCATGCAGGAGGACCACTATGGGTGCTTTAATGATATAACATCATTATGATTGTTGCTGGAACAAAAAACTTGCATCTCCAAATGTTGAAACTGCAGTATTTCCATTCATATTGCATGGGAAAGTCATTTTTGATGTTATTATAATTCTCATTTTCAATTAATGTTTAAAAATCTGGATGTAAAAAAAACAAAAAAAAAACAGTATTACAAAAAAAATGCTTAGGGCTGAAATTTTAAATTCTCATGTATTTAAATGTCAACCCTTTAGGGTTAATAATTAATAATCATTACTACAGTGGTTTAATTAGGCAAACAGTGGGTTTTGTGTGGGTTTTTTTTTTCCTGCTCTTGTACTCCCCTCCAGTTGTGCCATTTAATTAATCGGCACAAACTTATCTTTTTTTTTTTACTTGAAGTTAACATTCTATTAACTTCATAAATGTCAATTAAGCACACTCAAAACATATTATGAGTACATGCACAAATGTAGCAGCCTCGCTCATCGCTGCTTTATTTCAATAAATTGAAATAACTTGCGCAGGGATCATGTAGTTCATGTAAAGCAAACACACGACAGAGATCACCAGCCTCTCGCCCCATGGAGGTAACTACATTATGTATGATGTATTCAAAACCTTCTTTTGGCCAGACACTCAGAGGCATGTGCAGTCCCGCTCGCACACACTGTTCTGGCTGAGTCAGAACAGTTGGGTCCTGGAAATGAGGTTTGAGATGTGTTTTTCACTTTCTTTGGGATGTTTTGAGGATGTCATTACAAGCTACACAAACGCACCGCTGTAATTGTCACAGCACATGATAAAAAGTTGTAATTTACAATACTTAGAGCAAACTAACCATTTCAATCTGTAACCCATGAGTTCTTGTCCAGTTCATAGACGCACACCCGGTGCAGTAATGCCAGGGCGAGGCATGTGTTTTTTTCCAGACTGCAAAAAGTACAGTACATGGGCTGGAGCCTGCTATTACAGGATGATGTTAAACACGCGCCTCATTACCAGCGCTGATTCATCCCGCTTTAGAGGACTGTGTGCTACATCAGTGATGTTGGCTCATTTTTAGTCAGTCTTTCATACTAAGTTTGTGTTTAATTCCAAGTGTCTCATATGCTTCAGACTTTTTTTGTGGGGGGTCGGAGCCCACTTTTTTTCATAATCAATCTTGTAGATAAGGCTTTCACCTGACCCTAATGAAATGTCATTTATCTGCCTCACGGCTGACCTTTGTAATTCGTTTTGTCCAATGAAGATATTCCGGTCCACGACGAATGGGATTGGTCAAAATCAATTACCATTGTAGCGCTGCCTCTTCATTGTTTAATTTCCACTGAGGTCTCTGCTCTGGAGCACTGGAAGATCATTTTCTGTTGTTTACCGATTTTCAAACTTAAGAAGTTCTAATGTTGTACTCCTCATGTTTCTCTTTTCATTGTTTTTATTTAGTGAGGAAATGTCTTCAGGCAATCCGTTTCATCCTGCCCAAGGAAGCTGCCATGAAGGTTTGTGGACACGTTTGATCATCAGACAGGCTTGTTTTCCCACAGCATATTATGTTCAGTGTCAGTGTAAGCACCAAAAATATGAAAACAAAGAGTAGATTCTTAATTTTTCACCAGAAAAAAAGCAATTCTGGTTAACTTCTTCCCTTCTTTAAAACCAGGCAGCTAAGAAAATATTGACTTTATTGTTTGAATTCACACTTGATGGGTGGACATCAACAGAGACACAACTCGAGCAATTAAAAAGTCCATTTAATGTCCCCGATTTCTTTTTAGTTCTATCCATTCAAATAAAAAATCACTTTGATTCACAATGTGAATAACTTTGGCTTTATTTTCATATTTCACATATAGGTTTTGGTGAAATGGTACACCATCTACAATGCCCCCGGCGGCACCAGCGGCCACGGCGAGTGGAACCTGTTTGTCACGTGTTTCCTGAAGCTGATGGGCTACAACACCGAGCGCCTGACCTGGACGCGAAATGTGAGTTGGTGTCCCCCCCCCCACCCCTAATTAAAACCAAGAAGAGCTAATTCTGACCTGAAATAGTGACTCTCATGATTAATTATGACTTGAAATAGCGATTCTCATGCCCTGTGCACCCCCCCCCCCCCTCGAAA